AAACAAAAATTATTATTATTATGTATTTTATTTGTTAATGTAATTTCATACCTATCGCTGTATTAATGACATATTGATTAAATTGAATGAATTTTGTTATTTTGTAAAATGTCAGTAACGAAATAAAAAAAGAATGGAAGTCGTTTTGTGAAAAAGCAACGTCCACTTATATATCTGATGTGTTGCCGGAATAAAAAGATTTCTACACAAACATCTTCTAATTAATATAAACTTTTTTATGCTTTATTCGTTTTTACATATACATATCATCGTAATCTGAGGGAAGTAAGTGGTCGTTGTCCGGATTACGTGGAAATGGTCTCGGTTGATTTACATCTGGTGGCCCAAAAGGATCAAATCTTGCATGAGGTGGTACTGCACCCCTAAAATACAATAATTATTTTATATAAGTTATAACTAAATATCACATACATTTTTTTATCGACTCTTAAAATTTCAAATAATGGTCATTTGCATACGTGTCATTTTTATACTTTGAAATGTACCAATAGCTTTTTCAAAAGAACTTTAATGATTCAACATGCGAGTTTTGTAAAGATCATGAAAATATGATCATTCAAAAAATAACTTACGGAGGTAATCTTCCTGGAACTCCTAGTCCTGGTCTATATGGATTAATGGGGTTGCGTAAAGGCCCAAGTGGATCGAAGATCATACCACCGCCATGTGCAAAAGGATCTAGATCTGAACGACCTACGTTTCGTGGATCAGCCAAAGGATTTCTACAAAACGTTCAATAATGATTAATAATTACAAACAAAATTACAATTCAAAGAAATTAATTTCATTAAATCTGTAAATGAAAATTTATAGAATTATACAAGAAATTAATTATGCTGTACATTATAGTATTTTCATCAATTATATTTGCAAGATTAACAATTTTAATTTTAATCTTTTGGAAACAATAAAAAATTGGTCCCAAAATATGACAGCAACAGTTGTATATTTAGAAACAATTAATTATGTCATGCAAATTTATATTATCATTAATGTTGGAACTTTATAAAGGTTTTGTCTTATTATTTATACATTTTACATGAATAAATATTACCGTTCCTGTGACTGTGTGCTACGTGTTGGGTGTTCTATCCTTAAAGGATCTGGAATTGGTACAGAAACATTTTCTCTATTTTCTGTTGACGTCTGTGTAGCTGTTTCTGTTGTATTACCAGAAGATACTGGATTGATAAGATCAGTCTGAATAACTTGCATAACAGTTTGATGTGATGGTATTAAAGATTCTAGTGAATCATGAAGATCAGTTACAGTTTGATTAATTGGAAATTGGATATTTGATACACCTTGGTTATCAGTCCGCTGTACAACAAACATTTATGATTATGTTTTAGAGGAGTTTGTAGACAAAGCAAATTTTTTTCTATAGTATCATTTAGTATTACCAATAAATTCAGAAGTAAATCTTCATCGGATTTTACGCCATGAAGTATATACAAATTTCCATCTTTTATATAACGTAAAGCATAATTGGGATGCGTGTTCCACCCTTCTGGAAGTAATTCTGTTCCCTTTTCAGATGCATTATATGCCTTCTATAAAAGAAAGAATAACATTCATCTAATGTCTCATAAATCTGTTTGATATAACGTAATTAACGTATTAATGACGTATAATGACAATACGTAGTTCCGTGAAAATTAACATAATATTAAATGACCTTAGTGGTTAATGTTCCAAAATAGTTACACAGTATTTATAGGGTAGGTATTACAACGTCAAATTAAAGAATTATTTCTACATTATTTTTTAATTACATATACTAATTACGTATGAAATAAAATGCCGGTATTGCGTATTATCTAGTAATAACATATTTTTGTTACTTACTGAATCACCGAAGCCGAGACATCTGAACGAATTTTTTACGAGATACCAGTGTACAAACAAAATTAAAACATCTTCTTTTTTTAATACTTGGCTGCCGTATAAAGAATGCAGAAGTTCAAAACCGAACGTAACGTTGACATCAACCATTTTTGATTGTGAATGACAAGTGCGTTTCAGAGTTAACAAACTTGCGTCATTGGCGTAAGCATTTGCGTTTGAATCCGATTGGTAATTAAGTTTACAGAAGTAGATTCGGTGTCATAGTGATTTAAGTTACATGTTGTAAACGTTGTACGAGAATTTTGAATTACATTTTCTCACTTCATGTAGTTTGTTTATTTCGTTTAATACAACTACATTCTGGTTCATAATACCAGAAGATACATGAATTATAACATTTACTATACTGGTATTAAATTATTATAGCACCGATGAGAAACAGGATAGACTGGATATCTTATGGAACTTCGTGTCCTGAGGTCTGAAATATCGATTGTGTGTGAAGAACAGACATTCTGATATGCCCTCTACGATTCAAAGTGGCGAGTTTAAGAATTACATTCGAAGCGCCGATTCAAGTTGGTAAAATCACAGACGAGGTACATACAGTTTGCCCCTTCCCATCTGTAGCCTGTTCAATCGGTTATTCGGCTTGAGAAACAAGGGAAGATGTAAGATTTATAAATATCAAGAAATAATTTAATTAAAATTTTAATTTTGGACATTAAGGATATTTTATAATTCTCTTGAAATTTATTGTAATTATTATTACATAAATGCATAATAAATTAATTGAATTAATTAAATTTGAGATATTTAACTAAATAAATGATATAATTTTATTATTTTTTAATTATGATCATAATATTATGTTTAAAAAGATTTTTATTAATTTTTCCACTCGCTACGCTCAGTCCGATTGTTATAGTGGCTCAGTTTCGACACACCTTTGTTACTGGCCGAATTGCAGGGTGAAATAGCAGGAGACAATCTGTACTATTTGGCTAAAAGTGTGATCAGTTTCGCACTATGTGGCGCCACCAATCCTGGATAAGTAAGTGGGATTTCCAAAAATCATTTTTTTTTAAATTATTATCTTAACGGCTTTTTAACCCCTTGCCCTATGATTTATTCCTGAACTGTAATCTAACTATTTTGTTATTAGCACGTTGGCTGCCACGAAAACTTACTTCTAAAAGAGACAATTATTAATTATTTGCTAGCAGAATTCTTAAGTTACACTGTTATCTAATTATTTACGCTATTGAACATTTTTATTCGACGTCAGTTGTCTTATGAATTATAATTGTTTTCAAATCGTTTCGAAGCTCCGGTCCCACGGAACCACTGTGCTAGCGAAAGTGTTAATAATTTATAGAATATAATAGAACATTCAAGTCTTATTTTATATCAAAGCGTGCTCTAAGGTTTAATCACTGATAACAGAGGAACAGCATATAATTTGCATTCAAACAAACTGAGTAATATTTATGTTTGTTAAATTCTATTTGAAATCTTCGACACGAGTCTGACACGATACTGTAGAGCAAGGGGTTAATAGATTTTGATACGACTATTCTGTGTTATTAATTAAATACGTATTAAATATTTGAGAATGAACAATGAATTATAGCATTTGGATTTATTATATAAAGAAAACATTTAACTTTTTTCCGAATTATGAAAAGGAAGAACAAAATCCTAGAATTGCTTTGAATTGCTTTTTGAATTGAAAATCGTCGTTGCTTGATCTTATTACGCCCCCCACGAACAATTTTTCAAACTAAATTCTACAATGAACAAGTTGAAATCTCCAAGAACGCAATATTCTTTTCATCTTATACACAAAACAACTTGAAACGGAAAAGCAAATTGAAATTGAACCACTCTGAGTCTTTGAAAACTAATTGTAAGTTCCATCGATATTACTTTTTAGAAATTGGTCCAAATATTCCGTGGTTTCAGAATTTATATGTTTATTTCTTAATACGTTAATTTGTATTGTTTCCTCGCCAAGAATCTTATTTATATTTCTTTATTTATGCGTTCATTTGACAGGTAGATGCCCTTTAGTACAGAGAAAGAAGAGATATAAATGAAGTGCAAGGAGTTTACAAAGCGAGAGTTTTACAGTGTAATACAATGAACAATGAAATAATCAGCAAAAAGGAATGAAATTTGAAATTTCACCCAGCAATTAGTCTTTAACAAAGCTTTTAAAGCTATTTAAATATCCAGAAAATATATCAATTTGATTGCTAAATGTGTTAGCTTCTGCACAAATTCTGGTTAACGGATTAAAAAATTGAACACATTATACGCCGGCTAAATTTCAACTATTGAAATCCCGAGCGCCGATCATTATATTGATATATATTTTTAACCCTTTGTACTCGAGATGCGACTCCTAGTCGCCAGATGATTTGATACAGGAAAATTATAAAGTTTGGTATTTACCATTAATCTTCGTATACTGTATCAATACGCGAAATATTGAAAGGAAATAGCTATGTTCCGTAATTTATGTGTGATTTCTTAATAAATTTATTTTAAAGAATCTTGTCTACATCAAACCGAAATTTATAACTTATCAAACAGAACAAGGAATATTGTTTTTTAATATTATTTTCGATTCGTATTATACACATCTAAAATGTGACAATAATGTCGGACTAGCAATTAAAGGATAGTAAATATCGCTTCTAAAACAGTCATTTTAACTCGTTAAATGCCATGGGGGTCGCCGGTGATCCCTAAGCAAATCGAATTACTATAATTCACTCAATTAAACGATGATTATTCGCAAACATTTCTATATTACAAATAATGATACCCATTGCTGTGATATTCAGTTTGATGAACATGCAATGATAATAATCCAATTCAGTCAAATGATTAAATATTATATTTTTTCCATTTTGTCTATTTTTCTCTATGAAATCGTGCGGCGTTCAACGTGTTAACACATTGCGTACCAGCTACTTTTCAGAAAACTGAATTGTTCGGATGGAAATTTTCAGTTAGATCACCTTATATTGCTATACATATAAAAACTCATATATCAGTATTGTTATGTAATGTATTTTAAATAGATAATCAATTTGAATCAAATTTCGTATTTTTCTAAGTACTATAGTAATTAGAGAAATTGCATAGCTAAGCGTCTTTATATAAAAACGAGATTTCTCGTTGCCAGTACGCAATGTGTTAAGTATTTCCCTTTGTTCTTCATATAAAGTTACTATTCACCGATATTCCGACCGGTCATCGCGTTGAAAGTCGTGCGAGATTTCCATTCCCCGTTTGTCAATCCAGCTAAGTGCTTTATTAGCCAGACTTTTATTGCCCGCGACGAAACACTTCGCTGACCATGAAAAAGCATCGATCGATCTGCAGCGATCTACTATTTTTTCCGGACTCTTAGCTGCGTATCATTTGCCTAAGTGGTTATGGACAGAGGGTCGCCGAATGCCTAATAATGGCCTTTCCTAGAAACAGCTTGGTGAAATTGATAGAAAATGGAATTGCACGACGGTGTCGGTGTACCTTGGAATCGTTCCCGACGTATCGCGGGCTGACTTGTTCATTCGTTTGATAGAGCCCGTGACGGTTAGTTTGGTCGACCGTTCGTATTTGGTATCCGTCAAAGTTGTCATTGGATATGACAGAATGAAAACTCTACCGCGGCATGATTATAATTCGCCTAAGAAAATGGGCAAGCCTGGTGAGTGACTGGCGAGTAATGAGAACTCGAGTGTGTATTTTGAGTAATCCATTTTGTCAATTACACTGGATAACACGATTTTTGTTATATAAGGCTTAATGGGCGATCTTAATAGTATTTCCCAGCCAGAGTTTCTGAGAAAATCAATTTAGAAAACTCAATTTTTCAACTTTGAACATTTGTAGTGTCTTAGTTACGAATAGTTTTCAAACTTTTCCTACACAGTATTATTCTACAGCCCTTCCTTGACACAATAAATTTTAATGACATTGCAAACGTATTTAAACATTTCCATAATTAGGACGCGACAAATGTTCAAAGCTGAAAAACTGAGTTTTTCTTCAAAATGGATTTTCTCAAAAACTGTACGACATGTTTATAGAGAAGAGACAAAGTAACAAAATGAATCTTATTTCGTTCTCGAAATATAGACGAAAGTTTCATTATTTCTCAGCCCGTCCATATATTCGAGTGCCAATTTAAAGTCTTTGATAAAGAACTTTCCAGTCAACGATTTGAATTACATAGTCGCACGCTTATTTAAATTCTTCGTTCTCCATCAAGTGCTGTATCGGAATTCACTGCTTCGAGTGAATAAAAGAAGAGGAATGTTGTTATCTGGGAGCATGCTTTAGCACGATAGCAAACGACTTCACAGCACAGCGCGACGAGGCGTCCAACTAATCGAATAGCTTCACTGAAAGATCTCCGATCAATTACGCGATCGATATCCACTAGCTGCTTTGTAGCTTCGAATTTATTATCAAAAATTCTTTTCGACGCATTTCCTGTTTGTAGGTGGGAAACTGGGTCGATTGAGTGGCATGCAAACTCTGAAGAGAGCGTTTCGTGTGTACTTCGAGAATACTGGGTTGCATGGGTTTCGTTACATCATTACAGGCAGAACCAGTTTCGATAGAAATGTTTGGTTTGCGGTACGTGGAACGATAAAACGCGGAAACATTTGTGTGTGTGTGTGTGAGTGTGTGTGTGTTTTCATAAAACTATTGAACACGCGTCTGCATATATTTTCTGTCGTAGATTTGCGCAGCAGCAATTGTTTTCTGTTTGATACTGATGCTACGACTTTGGGAACATTTTTCGAACAATCCTACTGTGACTATTATAGACACTTCGAATCCGATCAAGGATTTACAGTTCCCTGGCATCACGATATGTAACAACAATAAAGTGTACAAGGAGCATGCTGATCTAATTGCACAGAAATTGTAAGTAATGTTTTGTATCATTCTTGTGATTCCGTAATTTGAGAAGTTTTCGAGTTTTCGAAATGCTGGGGCTGGAATGTCTGTTTGTTTTAATAGAAATAGTAATTGAATGGAAATTTGGAAATTGAAATAGGAACAGACATGGTACTTACGATGGAACAGAGTAAATTAGGTTATTCATTTCGGTTATAGTTGTTATTGTTAAACATGTATTTTTTCGTCAGTAACGTCAGTAAATTCTTTTAATCAATCAATCAATTAATTTTTTTGATTGTAACACCAATGTGACTATTTTGAAAGAATTATAATTAATGCAAATTGTATCGGAAAATAAATTGATTGGCACGTTTTGTATTATTACCGGAATTCAACGTTTTACTTGTCAATAATTGTAAATTACGGTCATCTGACATTTAATTCACTGTTGCTAATTAAAACGCTTCATTTGGCAGCATGTCAGAAATATTCTACCTTGATTCTTCACTGAAATAAGGTTTCCTTTAGAACACGTCTGTATCGGGGCTATATAATTAAAATTTAAATTGTGAAAGTAAACAACAGAGTAGAGGGAATTTTGCGCGTGAACGTTCGGTACATTAGGCGAAGCAATTTCCTTTGCGTTTAATTCAATCTGAGCTGAAAGTTTTCTCATACAAACTCTATGTAATTTGTTTTTCTACAATGTTATATAATTAAAAAAATAATAGATAGTTTCCCTTGTTTGATTAATTGAAAAGACTTTCATGTTTACAGAGGAACAATTTATTTAGTCGTAATAATATTAATATAATGAACATGTGCATGAATAATTAGGGAGATATTTGTTCCTTCCATTAACGTTTCTATGAAATGAGAGAAATTTTACTAATTAATTAAGTTTCATTCATTCTTACTCACTTATACTTTCTTGCTCGATTTTAACGATCTATTTAATTTATATTCATTAGTACATTCTTATAGTTGTCACTGATCTATACACCATACAACATTTTACAAAAATGTATTGTTAAATCAGTTACAATGATTCACTAAATGAATAATTCGAAAACAAACGTAAAAATTATCTTACCACTGATTATACTTTGTAATCAGTATAAATTGAGAAACTTATATCAATTTGTAAGATAATTATAAATAACCCGTACTACATAATTCTATGGGATAATTTATTGTGATAGATTGATAAATGGGTTCGACATCAGTATGACCAATAAACTATTTTCTTCACTGATGAAACTGATACGACCTGATAAAATCGAGATCGATAACGCGACCGCGTCCTGGGTCCTCGACACTCTTGGTTACTCAGTCGAGAAACTAATGTTCGAGGTGAACAATACTTTTCTTTACTAGACCAGTAAATCGTTTACACAAAATTGCATATTTATTGTATTACAGCTGATGCAGCCATGCAGTTCGTTGTTGGTAAGATGCGCTTGGCTCGGACAGCTTTACAATTGCAATAAAATCTTCAAGACGGTGAAATCGAACGAGGGTTTCTGCTGCGGTTTCAATTATCACTATGATCTATCAAAAAATTACGAGTAATTAATCTTAAAGATTTAAGTTCAATCCTGATTTTCATAAGTTTACTTAAATTAAGTTTTTTATAAATTTTGATAAATTATACTTATATAAATTTTTAGAAATTTTCATGAATTATACTTATATAGACTTTTTAACATTATTTCAGATTTTTATGTGAATTATTCACTTTGAGCCTTTTATTGTTTTTAGCATTTTAGTGTGTGAAGTAGTATGTTCAATGTTTCTTCAGGGATTCCGACTCATGGCTGACGAATATAACGGCGACCGAAGAAGAGCCTGACTCAGACAGTTCCTCGCAGTTTCTACCGGGTATTGGAGACATTCTGGTAAAAGGACAATGAATTAGACTGTACTCAAACATTTCATTTACAGAGTAACTAATTTAAAAAACTTATCAAATTATGTTCTTATTAACTTTTTAAATCATTCTTTACTTTGTGTTTTCTATTCCATTTATCGTTGACATAAAACACAATTTTCTGTAACATCTAATGGCACAAACAATTATCTAGATAAATATATTACCCACTATAGTATATAATTCATAGGAAACTATGTGTTGATCTCTTGCTGTTCAAGTAATTAAATCATTTATCTGCGACTTAGTTTTCCAAATATAAAAATTTCATCTCGCTGAAATGCCGACAATCGTCCGTAAAGGGTTAAATCAAAATTGAACGAAATATACGTTTTTTTATACAATCATGTATCTTTGTATAAAATTGTCTGGCATTTTTCGAATATGTATGAAAATTTGGCCGTCAAAAGGTTCCTTTTCCTTGGTAAATAGATCGTTTCACCTTCGTGTGATAAGGATTCCATTGAGCTACGCCATCTTGAAAATGCCTAGACTTAAACGGTACCGTAATGTTACAGCGTGTACCGGGTACAGGCCGTGATATCGGTTTATCAGTCGCCCTGAACATCGACGCCGCGAACTATAAAAGCTCGATAAGGCAGTACGTGGGCGCTAACGTGCTGGTACACGATTCGATAGATTATCCGGATGTCGGCGCGCAAACCTCATCTCTGATCCCGGGCCAGGTAATGACGTTGACGCTTTCCGGAACGAGGGTGAGAAGCTCGAGGGACATCCGCAACATCCCTCTGAGCAAGAGGATGTGTCTGTTCGACGGCGAGGTAGACGGATCTTGCTAACGTTCTTTTTTCTACTTAACACGTTCGCTGCCAGCGTCACATATTTGTGACCGCCGTAATCCTATGTTTTACAGAATGAAAATGAAATTAGTCCTACGTTGTTGGTAAGATGCGCTCTTACCTATTAGAAATGATAAACCTTACCTATCTATTAAATAGATGTTGTTATTAGAAATGATAAACTACGACATTGTATTTAGGAACTCAATGACTCATTTCAGTTCCATTTTTCTTATATTTTGTTTAGAGGACATTGTATTTAGGAGCTCAATGATTCTTTTCAGTTTCATTTTTCTCATATTTTGTTTAGAAGATTTATTGGACTAAAGAAAATATTATAATTGAGGAGACCGTCACCAACATAAGGTTTATTTGAAAAATTAAAGTAAACGAAACTTTTCTTTTAACCCCTTAACAGCGATAGTCGCTATATGGTGCATTCGTAAAAATTGTTGTGTAAGTATTTGTTTATTATTTCCTTTATTATCATACTTATTACATACAAACATCATTCTCTGTTCGAAATCTAATTATGTTGTAAAAAAGACCAATAAATTTAAGCGAAGAAAGAGTTACATTAGAACGCCGTTAAGGGGTTAATCTAAAATACGGTAATACTGTAATTTTCAATTATTTGTGATCTGTTCTAAATTAATTTGTGAACCTTTGCTAGAGAAAATAATTTTAATTATTGGCAAATGATCTTCAGAGCCCCGGGGAACGGAAGTACAGCTATCAAACGTGTATATCGGAGTGTATTCAGAAAAATACTTACAGTCCCTGTGGATGTTTGCCGTTCTTCTTTCCTGACGAACGTAAGTAACTTGTTTGGTCGAGATCAGAAAGCTGATGATTCATTGTTAAGGAGTTTTCTTTGTTCTTTAATTTAAGGTAAAGTAATCAAGTCAAGCTATTATTATTTGATTGTTAATTTATTATTACCAAGTAAATTAAAATTTGGATTGCACGATAAAAAAGGGTAATATTTATTGTTTTACTTCTTTGACCATGTAGTGATTTTATTTTCATATTCGTTATTTTATTTGGAATTCAAATATTCTTTCCCTCTTTCAAGGAAATAGAAATATTTTGCTATTAAATTATCTTAAGTGATTTATTTCTTAAATATTCTAAATTAGAGGGATGAAATATTCATTTCACGATTCACGAATTTATCATTACATTATCATTGTCGATTTGATAGAAAAACAGGTGAAAAGGAATATGTAATGTATGCAGAATCGAATCTAATTACGAAATTCTTTTAATTAACAGAAGGGGATGAAACGTGGGAACGTTTTTAATTTCAGTACCTCTATCGAGGAAAAGGAAAATGATGTACAAAGATTTAACGAAGCATGAATACCAATTTAGAATATTAAACATTCATATAACTGCTGGTTTCAGAAGTTCTATTATATCGTTAAAAATAGTTTACACATTATACTTTCATTGATTATTGGTTGATAATTTTATTGGCAGCGTATATAAGTGCAAACGATAATTGAAATGATACTTTTGTCTTAACGCGATGATAATTTTTTCGCTTGGAATTGTGTCGATAGTCAGGCTACAAAGTATTCGTGCGGAAGAAAAACTTCAATCGAAACTTGTGTTATTAATGACCTCAACTTCAGAAACTTCGAAGTACTATGTGTAGCCACCGTTGCAGTCACTTTGATTATATAGTGTATTGATAAAAATATTTTGTTCCTGTAGAAACATGAACAAGTATCGAAATTAAAACATATTTATTGAGTTTTAATAATTATTTATTTGTTAAGAAATTTAGGAAGAAATGTAAGGAATGAAATTAAACTAACAGTAGTATATTATTTTTGCAATGTTAATATACGATTCTCTAATTTGTTACTAGATCCGGAGACACGTACTTGCTATTTAACAGACGTGGATTGCATTTTGACACACAGAAGTGAGTAAATAGAGAATATTATTGCAATGTTATCGCTTATGAAATTGTAATTCTCATTTAAATAAATATATAAATTTCATTTCATATAAATAATAATTAGTTTAGTCAATTATTTTAATTTTAATTAATTATTATGTTACTCGATTAAATAATTTTATATAATTTGAATTTTAATAAATTATTACATTACTTAATTAAATAATTTGAAGTAATTTTAAATAATTTTAATTGTTTAATTTCAAAGGAAAACATAATCTTTTGGCAATATCATTTAAGTTGAACGTGACATTTATTTTGATGAATATTCGAATTCAATCTTTTCAACAACCTCGTATTATTTTTATTTATTCGTATGTATAACAGGACGTCTTTCGGAAGTTCCGCTGTCACACATAAACGACTGCAATTGTCTTCCACAATGCAACGACGAAACGTACGATGCATTCAGTGAATCGATTCAGCTAAGTGACATAGGTTACGACTCCGAGATAACGTAAGTGTCGCTTAACTTTTGTAGTTGGGGAAATATTTTATTGAAAAGAATCCTGATAAATATGAAATATGTATACCATTAAATAATTCTATACAGCCACAACATTGCTGCAGTAGAGGAGCAATAAGTTTAATAAAATGCAAAATACTTTTGTCATAATCCGTTAAAATGGCGTAAAACACAGGTGACGAATAATTCCAATAGCGTACGTGTCCTAATTATTTTAACATAAATATAAAATCAAAGAAAAATATTGGAACATTTATTACTGCATATATTAATTCCAAATTTAATATTTGGAATAACTAGGTTACCTACATTTATACGAATTCACATTTTCATAAATAATTCTATAACGGTTAGAATCAATTAAATCAAGATTGAAGCAAATATTAAATAAATTTGTTACTTTTTATTTTCTATACACTTATATTTTCGATTTACAAATGAAATTCAAGAACCAGTAAAACTTTTATTTCCTACCTGCCTTTGTAACATTGGAATATTATATTATTTATAAAATGATTTACGAAACCGTTCCTTCGAAATTAAAATAAAAACATTCCCAATTATTATAAAACCATTTATTTCGTCATGCATTAACAGAATTTATATTTCCCATGTACAAATAAAATTCACGAGCCTGTAATCATTCATATTGCGTACGCCTTTGTAACGTTTTAATACATTTGTTATTAAATGGGCCAAAATGTCTCGTTGTATTACTTTTCAATATGGCGTTCACATCGTAATATACTACTAAATCGAAATATATGCAGTGCATAGTTGATGTTAATTCGTAGTTGAAAAATTTAAAAATAAATTAATACTAATTTATTAATATTTATTTAGAATCAGTAACTGATGCCAGAACATTAAACATCGAACATCAAATAAAAATACAATAAAAGACAATAATTTTTACAAACATTGCTTTTATGTGTCCCAACGTAAATATTAATCTACCAGAAAGGTCTATCCGTTTTTTAATTAAAAGATAGTAATATATTTTCAACAGGTTTATTAATATTTACTGTACAATATAATTTTCATCTGTACTAACGACCTCCTGCCAGCGTAACGGTAATTTGTGAACTTCATTTCTGTAGAATGACTTTTCTTTGGAAACTTTAGATGATATCGGACAGAATTTTTTGGTATAGACCTAATAAATTAAATATATTAAATTCATATTAAATATATTAAATTCATATTAAAGCTATTAAATTAATATTAAATCTATTAAATTTATATTAAATATACTAAATATTTTAAATTTATCCTAAGTATATTAAGTTTATATTAAATACACTAAATTTACATTAAACATATATTAACGTATTAAACATATGAAATACCTGATATATAAAATTTCATTGAAAAATACGACGAGACTTTTCAGTCAATCGAACAGAATCATTTTCGAGTCCTTTTTTTCACCATCCGCGAAGTAGTAACTATCGTTACGATGTGTGAGAGAGTTTACTGTTATGCAAATGGATATTCCAGGCCGAAACCTTTGAATATAATACAATGCATTACTGTGAAAACGGATATCATCGTTGATGCCTTTTATTATAGACCGCCGTGAAAAGCATCGCAAGCAAAAGCTCCTTTCCCCCTATTCACGAACAAGAAATTTCACGAGCGGTTCTTTACAGGCACGGCTTGAATATAAAGAACATCTCGTTCCTCTACGTATATTTCCGGGACGGCTCCTACCTCGAGTACCGCAAGGACACCATCCTGGGCTGGGATAGTCTCCTCGGTAAGAAAAACTTGTTCGAAACGTGTACATACGCATGTACGAGTTCTTTCCTTGCCGCGCCGTATAACAGCTAATAGAAGAGAACGCTTAATAAAACAAGGCGAAAGCGGGCAGAAAAAGAATTCCTGGGAAACTAGGACGGGAACTTTCACTCGTTTTTCGGTAGCAAGCTGAACCTCGTTTAGTTAACCCCTTGCCATACGATTTCTCTTCCAATTGCAGTCAACAGAGATATTTTATTCTACATTTATCCTATGCCTACGTTTACTCAGAAGCATTACAATTAATAATAGAAAAATATTATTTAATTTGGACTTGGGAGAATTAAGTGATATTTATATTTGTCTGACACGATACTGTAGGGCAAGGGGTTAATCCCTTGAACTGAAGTAACGAGTCTCATTCACATGTGTTCTGACAGGGGAAGTTATTGAACCCGGAAATTCTAAAAACTATGAAACTTCGTGGGTAAGTAGAGCAAGTAATTGAAATTTTGTTTTCGTGCCGAATTTGACTCTGAAGGGGTGAAACCACCATTTGAAGAATATGAAAATTTTTCTTTCCTGTGAATTGCTTCGAGAACGGTAAGAGATAGCGAGAGAAAGTTTAAACAAAAAGTTCTTTTGTTCTTTTTTGCCTACAGTATTGCAAAGTTAAAAGAAAATTTTAAGGGCTGATGGTGGGAGTGTTTTGAAAAATTTTATTTTGCAATTTTATAGACGAGAGAGCAATGTTTGTTCAAACTTTTCTTAGCTATCTTTTACTGTTTTCGAGATAATTACCGGAAAAAATGTATCAGGTTTAACTTACGCACGAAGTTTCATCATTTTTTTAATTTCCAGATACCTTTTTTTCTGAGCTAAATTTCTTCATTATTCTTCTAGTATAATTACTTAATACTCAGAGTAAATGTAAATTACGTTAAATATAGGATACCTATTCCGTTTAATAAATTGTTAACAGTGACGTGACAAGTGCATAGTCGAAGAAGATGAGGAAACAAGAAATCTAGTTAAATGAAGGAAACAGAATGATAAAGTTGGTTAAATGCAATTTAGATTCAAATGTAATTTACCGAGGTAGAGGAACATTATTTCGAGATGCAATCAAGGATCTCAGATTTTAACGAGAGGACTATTTTCATCCTCTTGGAATACGGTGAACAATTATAATTCGAGTCGCTGGTACAACTGATACACCCGGTTCACTTAATTCGTTTCGATCGATTGGACTAATTGGAATTCGTCTTGCTTTTACCTTTCATAGTTTCTGACAAACAATCGCTATATCGATTGTTTACGAGCATCTTCGGGTTGTAATATTTCATTACACTGTTGTCACGTTACAGCATAGAATATAATCTCATCGACAAAATCAATTAACCCCTTTTTGTTCTGTTCCATTTAATAATTTAAAGCATGAACGTACCTACATTATTATAAAATGTAATTGTATAATCTTACTGTTCAAATCTGAACAAAATGAGCTAGTGTATTCCTTGTGCGTTGCTCAGATAATTGTAACATTAATCCTTTATAAATTAAATTGTATAACAATTGAAGTACAATTAAAAAGAAATTATTGATTTAACTCTTTGCCCTATGATTTATTTTTCACCTGTGATAGATACAACAACTTTGTCAGTAATAATTTATCAGAAAAAGAGGACCATTCTATGGTTTTTCTATATCTACGTTTGCTCTACAATATAATAATTAATAACGGACGAATAATATTTCATTTGAATTCAAAAGGATTTAGTAATGTTTATGTTTGTTAGATCATATTTAAATTGTTCACCATGAGTCTCACACGTTATTGAAAGGCAAGGGGTTAAAAGAATTAGTGTTATGCGAAACGCTAAGGTTTTCGTGGCGCTTAACGTGTGAAAATAAAGTTACATCAAAATTAAATGGAAAGGACCTAAGAACAATAGAAGACGCGACAATAAGTAAATTACATGTTCCAGCTGATGTGACGTGAGAAATCGAATTACAATTTCAGCTTCGTTCGGAGGGATCTTCGGACTCTGCCTGGGCGGCTCGGTGATAAGTTTCATCGAGTTTCTTTATTATCTGACGTCGGAGCTGCTCGCCGCTCGCAAAGAGAAACGCGAATTACGAAACGAAAATCTGCCACCAGCTTCGAAGTTATTTACCTCGGGACCGGTGAATAAAGACCCGAGGAAAGCTGACAAATGCGTGTTTTACGTTTGGAACGAACAGTTTCCGCGACAGAACCAGAAAAGCACTTTTGGTTTTAGGAATGATGGACTCCGACCGTACCGTGAGTAACAGCTACCAAGAAAATAAAATACTTTCGTGAAACGAAAGTCACCGTTTTTTATTAGAACATTTACTTGTCGATGATTGATTTTTAGTGATCGAAATATAGGGTTCGTACAATTCTTTAACACGTTGACTGCCGCGGTGATCGGTGTCCGGAGTTCAAAATTGCTCGATAACAATAGCAATAAGAAAATTGATGTCAAATAAAAATATTTAGTGACATAAGTGGCTGGATAACAACGTAATATGAGTACTGTGACACCAAATCATTAGTAATTATTTCTATTACCATTTACCTTTGTCATGAAAGAATCATTATTGCCATACAAAACGCTCGAAACTATCGTGGCAGTTAACGTGTTAACGTTGATTTAGGACACTAGAAGTTCGACATTTTTTTCTTGTAGAATAAGTTTCCTGCGTTAATATTCCGGTTTCAATGTGTTTCATACGATTGGAGATATTGCGAATGCATAATATATGATCGTTGCATAATGCAATGAGTTCATTGACTTCAGTGATAACAAAATTTCTTAGTTAATAGAGCTTATTGGTAGACATTGTTAGTTTTATTAGTATTAATTAAAGCAAATTACATTTGCATATTTAACGAACTTATCAATTCAAATTAAACGAAATTTTGTATATTTCATCGAGCGTGTTGATTGTATAATAAATAAACGTGGAATGTATATTTTAATCGAAATTTGTTTACATTCATTCTTAACTCTAATCGGATCACGATGTGACTTTGAGTCGCATTTGAACTTTTCACTTAAATTTTTTGATTATTTCATATTGCATTTCCAACAGTTTTTTTGAGGCTTTTAAAATTTGGGTCCTATAAACAAAAACAATAACCTTTTAATCGTTCCTTTTATTCTCATAAGTGACTGAGAATCACATCGTGGTGTGATTTGTTATAAAAACACGTGGTACGATTAGGGTTAAATCGCGTCGATTAGAATAAGCTCTGAATTTTTCTGAATACACAAATGTGTAAATGGAATAAATACTTTTATGCAACCCTCTATAGGTCTGTGTGACTTAGAAGTCACATACGAATATATTAGCATCTTGTTGATTTATTTTACATGAAAAAGTGGCGAATAAAATGAAGTAACTAACACGTTGACTGTCACGAGAATTTCGAACGTTTTTCGTAACAATACATATTCTTCCATAACAAAGACAAATAGTATTAGAAATAATTATTAATGAATTGGTATCACAGTACACTGGTTACACTATTATCTAGCTGTTTGTGTTACTAAGTATTTTTATTCGATATCAGTTTTCTTATTGTAATTGTATTTAAGCGATTTTGAAGTTCCGATCACCGGTGACCACCGTGCCAGTCAACGTGTTAATTAACAAACTTTTATACGCTCAGGCGTGAAAGTTAGTCATTGTAATTTCAAAATTAAAGCGCATTTTCGTTTCAATACAATTATTCAAACTGCTGAATACATTGTTAATTTGTATTTATAGGTTGATATTTGTTAATTTTATACTATATCTTTTTGTATTCACGAAAAAACCGTGAAACCTATTCAGCCTATAGAGGATTAAATGATATTATAGTATCTCTCTTTATTAGACTGTAGATTTTCATGCAAATTTGACAACGTTCCACATTATTCCATACTATTTTATAAAGACGTAATAAACGATACACGAAAATAAAAGCGAACGTTAACGATAAGCCCAAAAATTCAGTCGAATATTTATTGTACCATTTTTTATTTAATGTTCCTCAAAATTGGGCGTCTCACAAGCATAAATATATACGAAGAACCGCAGTTCAGCCGTTGCGTTTCAAATGCATACCCGAATGTTTCATAAACACATGGGAGTCCGGGTACCGACAATAAAATTCCAATTAAGCGTGATAAAAACAGATGTAAACTTTGATGAACAGTGACCGGTGTTTCAGAACTGGAGATCGTTATTTCGTTGCTCCCGTCGAAGAGAAAAAAGAAACGAAACAACGACGCGACGCGGCGCCAAATGAGTTGGCAGCTCGCCCACGATGAACACGAGCGCACGATGCCAACCAGGCATGACAGTCATCCGTGCTTGATCCTGAAGAACGACGATAGCTACGCAGTGAAACAAGCAGTTCCACCGATAAGCATGATTTGTAGGAGTTTCGTAATTGGGAAGGCTGTTGATCGTCTATTTATACTGCACCTCATTTCGTGTAGTATCATTTAGGAACAGGACAATAATGAATGTAGCGTTAACCCTTTGCGGACGAGAAATTTTCAATCCTTTTAATCGCTTGCCGTACAATGACAAGTGCGACTCGCGATGAAGATTTCTAGGCCAATTTAACAACAATCAATGTTGTTCATTACCCGCGGATCAAAGCAACTTTTGCTATTATCGATAATATTGCTATTATTGATAATAGCAAATTGCTATTATTGTTATTATTGTAGGAATTATCCTGGGAGAGTCCTCAATCTGGTGGGATATTCCCTTACAAGTCGCAAGATCTTTACAGATCACTAAACGCTTGCTCGCCGATTACACAAAGTTTCGCCCACAAAGTCTCGCACTAACGTCTCGCTCAAAAGTCTCGCTCGAATAACACGCACCAAAATGTCTCTCTCCACTATCACGTAGAAAATGTCGTCATTCCCACTCGCTTTTAATACACACCCCTATTCGCTCTGTCTTTCTCACCCTTGCACCCTTCTCACTCGCATCTTTCGTCTATAATCAAAATTTACGCAGTCGCGTACACGCTTTTCTCACGGTTCAGTCGCTCAGTTCCAGACACTCTTCCTCGCATTCTTTTAGCCACTCAAGATTTTCTAAACGCAGTTACACTATTTTCCAAACAGTGGCGCCGGTCCGTCGCAACATGACCTGGTCGGCCGCACGCACGCACAACAAACCATTCATCCCACATTATTGATAATAGCAAAATTTTGCTATTATTATCCTCAAATGAAATTTCTACTCCAAGTAGAATGGAAAATTCTGTTGCATTTCTTCCAAATTGTCGATAGTAAAATGTTACGCGAGCTTAGTAGCGAAAGTAAATAGTACGCCAAGGAGTTAAAACACTTTCCCTACAAAATGTAATTATGCACCGAAATCTCAAGTATCAAAAAGAAAGATAACCAAGTATCAATCTCCCATCATTTCAGAAGTTAAATTATTCATTTGCAGTTATCGTTTTAAACATGACAGCTGAAAGTCGTCATTACGGCGACATCCGACCGTAAAGCGTTAAAACGCGGATACACAACCCTTCGCGGACGAGAATTTTTGAATTCTGTAAAAACACTTTCCATACAAAATGTAATTATGTATTCAAATGAAATGTAATTATGCATTCAGAAAAAGGATAACCAAGTATTAACCCTTAGAGTACCAGCGTCGCTCACAGCGACGCTGAAAATTTGTCCAAAAAGGCCAGCGTCACCCTCAGCGACTCTTTGTTTTTGATAGCGATAAATACAACAGGAAGTATGAAAACTTACATTGCTGATTATATTTATTGTTATCAAAAATAAAGAGCGATGTTGGCACTCTAAGGGTTAATCTCTCGTTATTTGAATAATCAGATTATTCATTCGCAACTATTGTTTCAAATATGACAGTTGAAAGACGCAGGTATTCTTCGCGGAATGCGATTTTGATAAAGTATTAGCTGGCGTTCGTGGTCGCGGGCTTTTGTCACGAAGATTTCCTGGGGGACAGATTTTTTCCTCATCAGCGCCGGAGGGTGGCGGTGCTCCGGTATTCTTGCCATGGATTCAATTTCAGGGATGACGGCGGAATAAAAGCTTGGCTTGCAGGTTGTACGATGATCTCCAGAATTGGCTGCGGTCCGTGATGTTCCGCGTGATATGTACCGGGCTGTTCTTTCGCCGGTGGAGAACGTGACCGCGTGCCAGTCGGTCAAGAACAGTCTGACGCAGACACAGCTGATGCCGCAGCGGTAAAATCTGCGGCAAGGAAAACGCTCGGGGGTAAGTGAACTCTGCTAACGACCCGGCGAAAGGAAAAAGATCTCGCGTCCGTGTATTCCGTAGGATACAGATTAATTGAATTGTTTCTTCTTTGAATTTTCGTTTCATCCTTCGGCCACGAGCTGTCGTACTCTTTATAGATTTGTGTTTTCTGCTTATCTTGTGTTTTGAGATTTAGCTTGGTATTTAATGTAATTTAATGGAGTGTAAGTGATACGCTTACCTTGAGATGTTGTGTTTACTTTTATGTGTTTATAATTTATGATTTATTATTTATTTAATATCAATAATATTTATTTATTTGTTTGTTTAATGATGCTTTATAACATTTAATAATGTTTGAAAACTGTTTAAAAACTGTTTAAGTTTCTTGTTTCCTTGAAAATGAAGTTAATTTGAACATTAATGTCAATAGTTTCTTTTTCAAAGTTGACTTAATTCGTTAAACAAGTATTTGTCAATGATTGTTTATTTAATTCTTCAAATAATATTGAGTTTTTATTTATATTTACAATTAATTTGCAAATATGAATAGAACGTAAGGGAACGTTGAGAAGTGGGTCGTACGTGAAGTAGGTCGCCCATTTTTTAATGTGTCCTTGAAATGAAAATTAATGATCATATAATATTTCTCGATACTTACGTGGAGAGCTCAGAAGTCAATCAGTGTAAATCACATTTCCGTTTTACATAGCTTAAAAGAGTTTTAATCGTTAAAACTTTGAGTTAATAAAGTAATAGGGGCACCACCTGCGGGACTAAATCTTAAGTATGAAGGTAGTGACATAATTGCTTGATTAACTGAAAGTTTTAATAATAGGGCCGCTCTGTAAATGTTTAAGATGAAAATATGACTCACGCTCTTTGGCTTTTGAACCTTCCAATTTTATTACTGCAAATTGTATAAAATAGCCGAAGTTATTAGTACAAAACGTATAAAAAAAGACGTTTTCTGACACCCGAAAGAAAATTATATGAAATTTGGTGATTTGGTAATTTGGTAATTTGGTAATTTGGTGATTTGGTAATTTGATAATTTGGTGATTTGGTGATTTGGTGATTTGGTGATTTGGTGATTTGGTGATTTGGTGATTTGGTGATTTGGTAATTTGGTAATTTGGTAATTTGGTGATTTGGTGATTTGGTGATTTGGTGATTTGGTGATTTGGTGATTTCGTTAATTGTTAATTTAAGCACATAAAAATTTCAAAATTTCAAAAATTCAAAAATAATTTAAGAATAAAAATATAGTGCTCCTATTAATCGAGATCCTATTGTACTACACGGAAATCAAAACGCAAATGATATAAACATACATCCCATGGAAAACTAAAATTCATTCTTCTACAGAGTTACACGTAGCACTTGGAAATATTAAATCTATGTCTCCAGGTGGGAATTCGATTCAGGACTCAATCAGACGTCGGGCGTCGCGCCATATGACTCCAATAAATTTTCAATTTTCCACGTTACTCGAATAGAGAAATTCGTCAGTAGTCGGCGCAGCAAGTCTTTCCCGGTCGAGTGCTCGAACGACACGCGATGGATATTGCTTCTCGAATGCAGGGGACGCGCTGTCGTGAATATCAGACAGCCTCGACGAGGATCAATTTTGAAAAGAACGTTCTCATAGACCTCACCGTCATCTTTCTCACGCGTCGGACACCATCTTTTATACTTCCACGTGACAG